TGTTATCTCAGATTCTTTTGGGGCTTGACCTGTTAGAAGCAAAGAGGTTGTTTTACCTTTGTGGAGAATCTAGGACTTATGGTGAAAAGGCAGGAAAATAGAGTGAGGGTGATCAGATGAACCATGATCTCATGGAATTGTAGAGCAGGTTTGATTGACTGAATAGTTTACTTCTGCTCATATGGTCTCATTACCGACACATAAGTGGGGAATTTTAAAGAGGAAGATCATCAGTAGAATCTGTTTATATGGTAATCAGAATATACAAGTCAATGAACATTCTTCACTTTCACTATCGGTCACATATGGGTTCTCTCCAGTACCAACCCCAAAGTCTCAAGGAGATTCCCAACTATCCACTTGGACAACGCAAAGTTGCAGATACAGCAATTTCTGCGGTGCACTATATTTTGGGCAATCTGACCACCATTAGAGTGCAAACCTCAGCCAATCTTTGTATCTGGGCAAGATTCTGGGTGAGATTCAACTAAAATTGGAATTGTAAAAGAACCTACTAAATCCTACCATTTGGTAATTGCTGTTAGTTAACTTGACAATGATACTCTCTCAAAAAACCTGTATGTCTAGACATACATTCTAAAGATTTAAAGGTTAGCAGGATAACATCTAGAAAGAGACCTACACCAGCTAACAAGGTAAAGTTGAGCGACTATCAGGTTGATGACAGATTCTTACTGAACAGAGGGAGGCCATTCAGCCTTTAGTAAGCAGGAAGATGTATTCATGGAGAAGATGCACAGGAAGAAGTTACGAAAAGAAGGGAGGGAGACTCAGGAAAGATGGGGTTTAAGGCTCAAGCAGTGAAAAATTTTAAAGACAGCTTGACCCGAGTAGCTAGTGGAAGGGAGGGAAGTGACAGAGGCAGCTAATCGTATTGTTTCAACCTTCGTGACAGAGAAGCTTCATGAGCTCCCCACACTTGTTGGAGGTGAAGATAGAGGAGACAGTGGAGAGAGACAGCCCTTCAAAATTAGCTAACTTTGTTAAAAATATTAAAAAAAATCCCAAACTGTATTCAACACAAATACAGATTTATTCGACCTTATACTTTTATTCCTTATAACTGGCTTGGGGTTCATTAAAATCAGTAGAAACAGACCTCAATGAACATGGTTCAGTCCTGGATGTGATTAAAAGCAAAAATCACTAGTTACTTGTGAACTCGCTGATGTCTCAACAGGTTTGGTAACTGAGTGAATCCCTTCCCATTCTTCGAGCAGCTGAAAGGTCTCTCCCAGGGTGAACCCTCTGGTGTAGAGAGAGATGTAATGATTGCCTAAATCGAGCTCCGCAGTGAGAGCATCTGAACTATCTCTCATTAATTTGAGCACACAGAGGGCGGAGGAGCTCCCTGGAACTTTTATAGCACCTCCTGTAGTTAGGATATTTAAAAAATCTCTCTCCAGTGTAAACCTGCTGGTGTCTCAACAAGATGAATGACCAGGTGAATCATTTCCCACTCACAGTTCAAGTGAACAGTCTCTCTCTTCAGGTAGAATAACTGAGTGAATTCCTTCCCCAGACAGAGCAGATAAATGGCCTGTCCGCAGTGTGAATTTGCTGGTGTGTCAGCAGGCTGGATGAGTGAGTGAATCCCTTCCCATGCGCAGAACAACTGAATAGTTTCTCTCCAGTGTGACTGCACTGGGTAACTGGTTCAGATGGGTAACTAAATCCCTTCCCACACTCATGGTTTCTCTGCATTGCACACTGTTTTGCATACATGTTCAAAGACTGATGAATTTCAGATCTCAATGAGTCAACAGTATTCCTCAGAAGGCTAAGGAAATTTGGCATGTCCACAATGACTCTTACGAATTTTTATAGACGAGAAAGCATTGTATTCGAATGCACTGCAGCTTAATATGGCAATTGCTGTTCCCAAGACTGCAAGAATTTCAGAGTTCTGAACACAGCCCAGTCCATCACACGAACTAGCCTTCCATCCATTGACTCCATGTATACATCCCATTGCCTCAGGAAAGAAGCCAACATAATCAAGGACCCTTCCCACGCCAGTTATATTCTCTTCAAACGGGCAGAAGATACTAACGTTTGAAACACATACCAACAGATTCAAAGAACAGCTTCTTCCCTGCTGTTATCAGACTTATGAATGGACCTATATTAGACTATATTAGAGTTGAACTTTCTCTGCACCTCCTGTTACTGTAATACTATATTCTGCATTCTATTCTATTACCCTGATGTACTTATAAAGGCATGATTTGCTTGGGTCACACACGAAAAAATACTTTTCACTATATCTCAGTACACATAACAATAATAAGTCAAATCAACTAAGTCTTTGACAACAAGGTGCAGAGCTGGATGAACACAGCAGGCCAAGCAGCATCATAGGAGCAGGAAGGCTGATGTTTCGGGCCTAGACCCTTCAAACTAAGTCTTTGTCAGATTTTGACATGATGTTTGATTTGAGCTTCCCAAGTCCTCCCCTTCCAAAACCCCGTATACTTAAAACAGGAATAACAGGACTGAAAGAGAGCTCACGAAAACACAAAGACAAGTTGAGAAATTCAGCTGAACGAAACTAGTAATTTATGGGCTGGCCCGTGATAAACTGACCACGAGAACTGTCAGATCATTATAAAATCCCAACTCATTCGCTATCAATCAGGAAAGAGAACCTGTCACCTGGTCTGGACCTACACAACACATGAGGGAGAGCTGGGGTGGGTGGTAATGGTATCTGTATTTCAGTGAAAACTTTGACAGAATTTCAGAATAGAGTACGTTTATAGAATCCTGACAGTGTGGAAACAGGCCATTTGACCCAACAAGTCCACATGACCCCTCCGAAGAGCATCCGACCCAGACCCATTCCCCTATCCCTGCATTTTCCCATGTCTAACCCACCTAACCTAAACTTCCCTGGGCACTATGGGCAGTTTAGCATGGCCAATCCACCTACCCTGCACATCTTTCTGATCTCGGAAGCTAAGCAGACTCAGGCCTGGTTAGTACTTGGATGGGAATACCAGGTGCAGTAGGTACAGGGCAGCACAGTGGCTCAGTGGTTAGCACTGCTGCCTCACAGCAGGGACCCAGGCTCAATTCCACCCCGGGGCGACCGCCCACGCAGAGCCCGCACACCCTCCCCGCGTCTGCGTGGGCCTCCTCCGGGCGCTCCGGTTTCCTCCCACAGTCCAAACATGTGCAGGTTAGGTAGATTGGCCATGCTAAATTGCCTGTAGTGTTCAGGGATGTGTAGTTTAGGTGGGTTATAGGGGAATGGGTCTGGGTGGGATGCTCCAAGGATTGGTGTGGACTTGTTGGGCCGAAGGGCCTGTTTCCACATTGCAGGGATTCTTTGATTCTATCTTTGGACTGTGGGAGGAAACCGGAGCGCCCAGAAGAAACCCATGCAGAAACAGGAAGAACGTGCAATCTCCACACAGATAGCCACCAGAGGGCGTAACTGAACCCGGGTCCCTGGCACCGTGAGCTACCATGCTGCCAAAAAGGGACAACATCATTATAGGCTGCTGATTGGCTGAACCATAGCTGACATGGAAGTGTAACAGGAATCATTAACAGACAAACTTTCCCAAATTCTCAGGTAAACTATGATTGGCTAGGGTGGTGCCATGGAAAGATTGGCAAACTCCAGGACTTCTTTTCTTCACCAACGAGAAAGGTGTAACATGTGTACACATCATTTAATAAAGGTGCTCCAAAACCAGATTCACATTAAATAATCGAGACTGTACTAAGAATTACAAAGGAAATCAATGTATGGTGGTCAGTCAGGTTCACAATGTATGCATGCATTTATGCATGCTTGCAGTGATGTGTATTCAGAAACAGGACCCTATTTTGTGCGGTTCATGACCAATTAGTGAACATGCGATTGGTTGAAATCAGTACAACAGATCTGATGACTTACCTCATATCATCTCATTGGCTGCCCTGATTCCTAAATTTAACAGTAACCATACTTCAAAAGTATTTAATTTCCCGAGAAACTTTTTGGGATGCGTTAAGGTCAAGGAATGACTACATAAACCCAAGTTATTTTCATCATTAACGTGGTGGCTTCCCAAGGGTTAATAAAAATAGATTCTATTCATATGGCACGTGGATGCTGTTTTTAAAATGATAACTGATGACCACAGGATATTTCCACCAGGGGCCATATTAGATACCATAATCTCTATAGTAATAATAAAGAACTGGAGGGGGCAGAAGAGGGAGATTTGGTATTGAGATCAGATCTCCACTTGAGATACAACGAGCAGAAACTGCTGCTTTTGTACATTGAGCAGTAAAATTACAGCAGAAACATTTTACAGAGATAGTAGGAACTGCAGATGCTGGAGAATCTGAGATAACAAGGTGCAGAGCTGGATGAACACAGCAGGCCAAACAGCACCAGAGGAGCAGGAAGGCCGACGCCCCGGGCCCAGATCCCCCCCGCTCAAAAGATAAGCAGCACTGGTATATGGGTACTCTGTCACCTTCAAGACGCACATCATTAAGTTCATACTGGAGAGAGACCATTCATGTGCTCAATGTGAAAAGGGATTTAATTAATCACCTGATTCACTGAGGCACTGGCTAGTTCACAAGTGACTGCGGAGAGCTCTTGTGGTATAGTGGTAGTGTCCTTACCTCCAGACCAGAAGGCCCAGATTCAAGTCCCACCTGCTCCAGAGTTGCTTCATAACATCTTTGAATTAATTCAAAATAGCAAGGGACAGCAGGTTTTGGATTTTGCTGTTAATTGCATCCAGGACTGAACCATTTTCACGGATAGTTGTGATTTATTTTAGCTGATATTAAAAATCCCTATGACTTGGGTACAATTAATATTCTAGCAATTGGTTTGCTTTGATTTGTAAACAAGATAAAGAAAGGTGGTGGCCATTCATCCCCATGAACCTGCTATGCCATACATCTAGATAACAGCTGATCATCTACCTCAAAGTCATTTCCCAGCACGAACCCCTTGTCCCTTTCTATATTTGTTGCCAGGTATGGCCTTGCTGCAACAGAAATCAGTTTAGGTGCTAAAACATTAAATGTTTTCAAGGAGATAGATGTACTTCTTAGGGCAAATGGGATCAAAGGGTAAAAGGAGAAAGCAGGAACAAGATACTGAATTGTACAATCAGACATGATCATATTGAATGGTGGAGCAGGTTTGAGGGCTGAATGGTCCTCCTGTTCCTATTTTCTATGTCATAATCTAGGAATCTATCAATCTTGAATATACTTAATTACCGAGATTCCACAGCCCTCTGGCATAACAAATTCCAAACATTCATCAGTCTGAGTGAAGAAATTCCTCCTGATCTCAGTCCCAAATAGCCTAGCTCTTATTCTGAGACTGTGTCCCATGGCTCCAGACCCTGCCCCTGCCCACCCCCATCCAGACAGTGAAAAATACCTCCTGCATCATCCACATTGAGTCTTCCTTACCTTTACTCCTCAAATAGAGTATCATTGTTTGGGCTATTCTGAAGATTTCAGGGCATGAAGCAAATTATTGACCGGTTGTACTTCCTGCAATTCTGTTACTGTATTGTACCTGATGTGATCTGCTCTACCAAAATAGTAAACAGAGCCTGGAAAATCATTTTATTGAATGACCTCCCAATTGGTCTGCAAAAGTGGCTTGCTTGCTGGTCCCTTGCTCTTTTACTTCTCAGTCCCACTCTGTCCTTCTGTCCTCCATCTCCTGCACTTTTTCAGTGAAGCTGAGTGAGTGCTCCAGGAACAGCGGCTCATCCTTCGATTCAGCACTTGACAACCTTCCAGACTCAGTGCGGAGTTTAGCAGTTTCTGCACCAGAGAACTGTCAGGATCTGGAACGCTCCACCTGAACAGGTTGTGGCACCTGACTCTATGAAGAATTTTAAAGGGGAGTTGACTGGTATTTGAGAATGAAGAATTTGCAAATTGACACAGCAAACTGGGTGTGGGGAACTAAGCATAGTAGCCCTTTCAAAGTAAGTTCAAGCACAAAGGGTTGCATTGCCTCTTTCTGAGCTGTAAGTTTCTATGATCCTACGAGTCGATCCTTTAGCCTTCTTGAATCTGTTCCCACCATGTAATGTGAATATGCCTGACCTGTGAGCAACCTCAATATACTTGCCTTTGTGCCATATCTATGAATAAATATGGTTAGCTGGACGGGTTACATCTTCACAGAGCTGATATTCTCACAGGGAGATTTGCTGGTGCTCTTGGTGTTGGACACTAGCTTGTCAGGGAATAGGAACCTGAGGGGTAGACCAAATCGAAAAGGGGTTAAGCTGGTAATAAGTAACAAAGCTGAGCATTTGGAATTCTTAAAATGCAGAATGATGTCAAAAAGACAAAAATTAAGGCACTCTGCTTGAATGCACGTAGCATTTACAACAAGATAGACAATCTAAATGCACAAACGCAGGTAAATTGTAATGATATAACTGCTATTATGGAAACATGTCCCTACAGTGACCAGGACTGGGAAATGAATATTCAAGGGTATGTGATGTTAAAGACAGATAAGAAAGAAAAGAAAGTGCAGTTCTGATAGATGGGATCAGTACATTAGTAAGGGAGGATCTCAGATGTGGAAAAAAAAATGTAAAATCTGTTGCAATAAACTTAGAAACAGCAAGCAGTAGCAGATATTGGTTGGGAGTTATTTCTGTGCCAGTAGTGGTAGTGTAGGCCATGGAATAGACAAGGAGATGAGAGAAACTTGTAGCATGTTCAACACAGTGATATGGGTGACTTCAATCTGCGTGTAGACTGGATAATTCAGCAGAGCACTAAAGCTGTGGAGGACAAGTTCTTGGACTGTCTTACAGATGGTTTTCTAGAGTTTGTGGAAGAGCCAACTACAGAACAGGACATATTGAATCTAATATTACATAATGAGAAAGAGCTACTTAATAATCCATAAAAGAACCCTTTGAGGATGGGTGACTGCAATACAATAGAATTTTACATTATGTTTGAAAGCGAGGTTTGTGCGATCTGAAGCATGGTTGTTAAATTTGAATAAAGGAAATGATGAAAACACGAGGCACTAGTTGGCTGAATTAATTGAATTGTGAAAATACATGGAAAGGCACAACTATGTAGGCAATGGACAGTCTCCAAAAGAACTGTTAAATGGCTTACAGCAACAATACATTCCTTCAAGTTGCAAATAACTCAAAAAAGTGTCAACCCATGGTTTACAAAGAAAGCTTAGTGAAAAAGTATAATAAAATGGCCTTGATTGGGAAAGTTTTAAAAAACAGCAAGGATAGAAACTGATAACGATTGGAAGAATAGAATACAAAGGCAATTTCAAAAAAAAGTTATTGGACTGTAAAAGGCTTTACACAGATCTCTCTGCATATCAATACTCCCAAAGGTTCTGTCATTCACTGTATAATTTCTACTTGTACTTGACCTTCCAAAATGCATCAACTCACATTTGTCTGGATTAAACTCCATTTGCCATTATTTTCTGTCCAAACGTCCAACTGATCTATATCCTACTGTATCCTCTGACAATCCTCCTCACTATCTGTAACTCCACCAATCTTTGTATCATCCACAAATGTACTAATTAGACCAGCATGTTTACCTCCAAATCATTTATGTAGATCACGAACAGCAGAGGTCCCTGCAGTGATCCCTGTGCAATACCACTAGTCACAACCCTCCATTCTGAAAAGCATCGTTCCACCACTATCCTCTGTCTCCTATGACTAAGCCAGTTCTGTGTCCATCTTGCCAGCTCACTCCTGATACCATGTGACTTCACCTTTTGTACCAGTCTGCCATGAGGGACCTTGTCAAAGGCTTTACTGAAGTCCATGTAGACAACATCAACCGCTTTTCCCTAATGAATAATCTTTGTCACCACCTCAAAAAACTCGATCAAATTAGTTAGGCACGACCACCCCCGCACAAAACCATGCTGTCTATAGCTAATAGGTCCATTCGCTTCTAAGTCCATATAGATCTTGCCCCTGAGAATCTTCTCCAATAATTTCCCTAGCACCAACGTGAGGCTCACAGATCTGTAATTTCCTGGATTATCCCTGCTACCCTCTTGAACAATGGGATAACGTTGGCTGTTCTCCAGTTCTCTGGGACCTCACCTGTAGCCAAAGTGGATACAAAGATGTCTGTCAATGCTCCAACAATTTGTTCTCTCGCCTCCCTCAATATTCTGGGAAAAATCTCATCAGGACCTGGGGACTTACCTACTTTAATACTTTTTAAGATGCACAACACCTCTTCCTTTTCAATAACAACTTGGTTTAGAAATTCAACACTCCCTTCCCTGAGATCATCCTCTACCAATTCCTTCTCTTTGGTGAATACCAACACAAAGTATTTGTTTAGGATCTCACTTATCTCTTCTGGCTCCACACATAGATTCCCTCTTTGAGCCAACCCTTTCCCTGACTACCCTCTTGCTTTTTATATATGTATAAAAAGTCTTGGGATTCTCCTTAATCCTGTTTGCTAACAACTTTGCATCAACCCTTTTGGCCCTTCTAATTTCCTGCTAAAGTGCTTTTCTACTTCCTTACATACTTCAAGGCCTTCGTCAGTTCCCATCCTCCTGGGCCTTATGTATGCTTCCTTTTTGTTTTTGACCAAGGTCATAACATCCTTGGTCATCCAAGGTTCATGTAATTTGCCAAACCTATCCTTCACTCTTGCAGGAACGTGCCACTCCTGAACTCCTTTCAACTTCCATTTGAAATACTCAAACATGAATTTGCCCTCAAACATTCACCTCCAATCAATACTCTCCAGTTCCTGCCTAATATTGTTGTATAGTAGTTCGCCTTCCCCCAGTTTAACACCTTCACCCGAGGACTGCTGTTATCCCTATCCAGGAGTACCTTAAACTCATAATATTATGGTCACTACTCCCGAAATGCTCCCCCACTGAAACTTCACTCACCTGGCCGGGCTCATTTCCCAAAACCAGGTCCAGTGTAACCTCTTCTAGAAGTCACAATAAGATGATGCATTTTGGAAGAAGGAATAGGGAAAAGAAATATATACTTAAATGGCATAGTTCTGAAGAGTGTGCAGGGTCTGAAGAGCCTGGGGGTTGATGTGCACAGATCTTTGAATGTGACAGGACATGCTGAGAAAGCATTAGCAAAATATACAGGACCTTGGACCTCATCAATAGAGGCATTGTGTGTACAAAAACAAAAATGCTGACTCTTTTTACAATGCTCTAGCATTCTGGTCTTCAAACTTTGGAAAGGTATAAGGGTCCTTGAGAGGAAATAGGGGATTTTGGCTACAAGTCTGAAAAGCTGAAATTGGTCTCCATAAGTCAAAGAAATTGAAGGGAGTTTTAATACCCATGTAAAAGATATTGATCAATTCAGAAAAATTTAGTCAAACAAAAAGTTATTTCTATTAGGTTATGGTACAAAGACCAGGGGGGTACACGCATATAGTTTTGGACAACAAGTAGGGGTGGGCAAAGACTTTGTTTATGCTGCCAGTGGTAGTACACAAACTGAAGGTGAGATGAAGTGGAGGTGATCAATGATCTCAAAAGGTAATCAAGAAAGGCACTTGGTAGGAGTAAACTTAGAGGGCTAGGAATGTTCTCCAGAAAGACACCTTATCAGTTCACTGGCCTCGGTCTGTACAATACTGCCTCTCCTCATTATTTACATTATTATTTAACCTCTGCTCATAAATTACCTCTTGGAGTTTAGGCAGCATCCAGGTAAGTGTGCACAGCTCAGTGAATATATACTCCACGTGTGGTCAGCACAGTGGCTCAGTGGTTAGCATTGCTGCCTCACAGCCCCTGGTTCGATTCCACCCTCGGGTGACTGTCTGTGTGAAGTTTGCACATTCTCCCCATGTCTGCGTGCATTTCCTCCCACAGTTCAAAGATATGCAGAATAGGTAGATTGGCTATGCTAAATTACCCATAGTGTTCAGGGATGTGTAGATCAGGTGAGTTATAGAGGGATGGGTCTGGGTGGGATGCTCTGAGGGTGTGTGGATTTGTTGGGCCAAAGGGCCTGTTTCCACACTGTAGGGATTCTATGACTTCAATAGTCCAACCAGGGTGTGGAGCATAACTACATTGATACTTGAAATATGTACCCAAGAAAAGAACAAACCTGTGTCCTTCCACAGTCAAAGGCCAACGATATTCAGGTCCTGATGAATCAAATGATTCACTCAAATCTTTCTGTGATGCTTGGGGTGCATTTCCTATTTGCAAAGCCTTCATATTTGATATTCTGCAAAAGGAATGTAGGGGAAAAAGAGCGCAAGTCAAAGTCAGAAACACAGAACAACCAAACAGCTCGCTTGGCTCGAATTTAGTCCTCCCACTCTCATCAAATGAAATGGAAAGCTGCGCATGTGCCCTACTACATTTTGCCCCCTATTAAAATGAAGGCCACACATGCGTCCCACTGAATATTACCCCCAATAAAAATGGCGACGGTTAACTTGGGCCTGGTTGCGCGCAGAAGGACCGCAATCACTGCTCGGCTTAATGCAAATGCGTACTAGAAGCATTTCTTTCAGACTTTATCACGAATCTCAGTCTTACAAGGTCACAATTTCTCTCCTTCACTTAGTTGTAACTCATCCTTTTCCGTAGCTTTCCACCTTCAGCACCAACTGTCCATACTACAAGCTCAACGACTCTGCGCATGCTCTCCGATCCGCACTGGTCTTCACGCGTAAGCCCCCACAACCCACGCCCACCACCCATTCCTATTGGTGAGAAAACGCCACACCCCCTCCATCTATTGGTTAATGCAGCCGTCGATCATCCGGGCACCCGCCTCTTTCAGTTCGGGGACATGTACAGTTAACAGTGATAATAGTGTGGAGTTGGAGGAACGTAGCAGGCCAGGCAGTAACAGAGGAGCAGGAAAGCTGACTTTTCGGGTCTGGACCGTCTGATGCTGCTTGGCCTGCTGTGCACACCTTGTTATCTCAGACTTTTTTTTCTGAAGAAGGGTCTAGGCCCGTAAACGTCAGCTTTCCTGCAGCTCTGATGCTGTTTGGCCTGCTGTGTTCATCCAGCTCTACACCTTGTTATCTCAGATTCTCCAGCATCTGCAGTTCCGACTATCTCTGAAACAATTGTTCAAGGACACAGGTTCAAATTGCGTCACATCAGCTGTGGAATTATAGACATAATGTACCAGACAAACTCACCAGCCATTTGGGATAGAGAAGACGCCTATATGTGGATGGTTCTGAAGAACTGTTTTTATCTGAGATTGAAAGGTGTATATCGGATTATTTGAGGAGGAGTCTTTTTTTGTCTTTTTCAGTCAAGTATTTGATTTTTTAATATTTATGTTTATTTATTTTCTTTTTTTGCATGCTTTGTATTAAAATTATTAATATTGTTAAGATTAAATCTGTGGGTAAGGAAAGGTAATTTATTTTAATATATAAAGGGCTATTGAGAGCTTTTTAGAATTAATGTCATTGAGGGCATACAAGAGACACTAAGTGTGATGACTAGTAGATTTAGAGAAATGAATACACAGCAGGATCAGTCAGATAGATATTTGGAAAGGTAAGAAGGTGGATACATCCCTGGGTCCTGATCAGGTGTATCCTAGAATTTTGTGGGAAGCTAGGGAAGTGATTGCTGGGCCCCTTGCTGAAAAATTTGTATCATCAATAGCCACGGGGGAGGTGCTGGAAGACTGGAGGTTGGCTAATGTGGTGCCAGTATTTAAGAAAGGTGGTAAAGAAAAGCTACAGAACTGTAGATCAGTGAGCCTGGCATCAGTGGTGGATAAGTTGTTGGAGGGAATTCTGAGGGACAGGATTTTCATGTATTTGGAAAGGCAAGGACTGATTAGGGATAGTCAACATGGCTTAGTGCGAGGGAAATTGTGTCTCACTAATTTGATTGAGGTTTTTGAAGAAGTGACGAAGAGGATTGATAAAGGCAGAGCGGTAGGCGTTGTCCATATGAATTTCAGTGAGGTATTTGACAAGGTTGCTCATGGTAGACTGGTTAGCAAGATTAGATAACATGAAATACAAGGAGAACTGCAGAGGGCAGTGTATTGCGAGTCTGCACTCTGCTGCTGCTGTTGTAGCTGAGACTTGGAGGCTGAAGTGGCAACACCTGTTGCAACTGAGAGCACCTGGAGCTGACTGAGGCCTACAGCCTGGAGCCTTGGGTGCTGCAGCCTGCCTGCCTGGAGGCACTCGAACCTGGGATTCTCCATTCCTGCTGCCTTTGGAAGCGTGGTGTCTTGCATTTCTCTTCAATGAGTTGTATTGCATTTCTCCTCAGTGAGTTGAAGACAGCTGTAATTACACTTGCTGCGCTGGGGAGAAGCTGCTGCTGATTGTGACCTGGAACCTGGGGCCTCGCGTCCTGTAGCCTGCCTGCGTGGAAGGACTCAAGCTTGGGACTTGCTGCAGCTGCCCTGAGAACAACGGTGGCCTGCACTTCTGTTCAACCAGTGCCTAGGAGGCTTGTTCCTGGAACCTGGATTACTCCTTCAGTCGAGGATTCAGGCCTGGGCATTAATTGCTTGAGGCCCAAACACTTGCAGTGAGAGACTGTATTTTGGAGTCTAGGGCCTGGAACTGTTTGGAACCTGGGCCATCTCCTTATGATTACTTTGTGACTGTGACCTATTTACTGCCAGTGACTATTGCCGCTGGGCATTGGGGGAACCATTTTTTTGTACTGTGGGTTGGGTGGCAGGTTGGGATACAGCTGCCTGAGGCGACTGGATTGGCAGGCGAGGCCTAACAGGACTCTCTGTTTCCTTTACTTGCTTTTTGTATGAGGGGAGGTGTTGGTCCTGATTTTGGTGAGGGTTGGGGTGATGGTGACCACAGGACCTTCTAAAATAACATCGAGGGTGGGGCCCAATCATTTGTACGTGGGACATCCTGTATGTCCCCTATCCCTTGGAGGCCTTGTCGCTCTTTAATTATTTCACAAAACAGCTCTGGGTGAAATGTTGCAGTAAATGTAACATGAGGATTGAGGCTGTACAGCAGCCTTGGCAGGGGGTAGTCGGTGATCCCATCATTGTCGCTACATCAAAGATGTATGAGAAGGCGGTGTTCTTCCTGAAGACAGAACGGGTGGTGCACCTCACCCTGGAGAAGGGGCTTACACTTGGTAGGACGTTCTTGCCTGTCAACTTTCTGGAGGTAGTTTCTCAGAGGGTCGTTTTATCGAACATCCCACTCTTTGTTCCACCTGAGCTCCTTCTTCCCCACCTCCGCCAGCTTGGGGAAGTGAGGTCAGGCATGGTGCTGATACTGCTCGGTCTGCAGGAGGCCCGCTTGACACACGTCACTGGAAGCAGTGGCAGGTTTTCATCTGCCTGGCCCCGGAGGACGTCACGGAGGGCACTTTAATGGTTGAGCATGAGGGTGCTGCTTCCCGGGTGTTCTGGTCAGTGCAGGGTGTGCAGTGTCATGCCTGCAAGGAGGTGGGGCACCTCCGGAGGAACTGCCCTGCCTCGAAGGCCGCTGCTAAAACCCAAGTGCCGCGGCTGGCACTGCCGCCCCTTCCCTCACGACATCCCCTCGGCTCCCGCAGGAGGGAGCTACCTCGGTTACGGACACCAGTGGGGTGGGTGGAGAGTGTCTGCAGGGGAGGAAAGTCTGGAGGAAGACTAAACATTTGGGGGGAGCCTCTCAGGAGGATTCCCGGGTGACTGAGAGACCATCGACCACCCAGCCTGGGGAGAGATCCCTCGCAAAGGATAGCAGTCCCAGGACTATCGGGAAGGAAGGGGCTTTGGACCCTGGCCCAGGGCCCCTCGGTAATGAAAGCACGAGTGAGCAAGTGGTGACCCCAGTTTCCTCTGGCCCGTCTCATGCCCCGAAACCCATGACAAACAGGAAAAAGGGAGGATGGCTGAGGGGGAAGGAGGCAACAAAACGATGGAGAGATGTCTCTTGCTCCCCCATCCTCTAAGAAAACGCACCAGTCCTCAGGGTTGGAGGAGTCCAGCGCTAACAACACCACCTCCAGAGATGAGAGTTAGGGTTAGGGAGTGGAGGGGGACACAAACCTGTCCCTGCAGACCGCCGCAACGGTGCCAGGCAGCTCGGAGGCTGAGGTGGATGTGGCCACAGAGGTCTTGCCCACGCCAGGAAAAACTGGAAGGCCTTGAGATGCTGCCTGCGCTCACTGGGGACTGCTCTGAGGGCACCCTGGATGGTATTGATGAAGGAGCAGCCTCCTCGCTCCCTCCCAGGCCTTTGTGTTGGGCTCTTCTGCCCTTACTGGGGATGTTTTCCCAGACACGGAGGATGGCCCGGTGCCAGGAGTTGAGCAGGTTTTCCAACTGCTGCTGTGCAGGGGGCCTGACATTTTAGTTGAGTCTGATAAACTCTAAGACTTGGAGGTCCCTGCAAAGGATCTTCCTGCTGTCCACCCTGGAGGTGAGGTTGAGGCAGGGGTGTGTCCAACCAATGGAGCCCAGATGACTCCTGCATTCGATGGAGGTCAAGGAGCATGTGCCAGGCTGTCTGCTGCAACTGACAGTTCGTTTTGGAGGCACGGTGCATCAGTTTGTGATTGTAAACATGCCTTGGATGGGATCTGAGCAGACGTGCTTCTTCGAGGATGTGTCCACTCTTAACTCCATCGGTGAGGGCGAACGCATCCTTTTGGGGGAGATTTCAATCGCACCCTCAAAGAGGCTGGACCGTGGCGGCACCCAGAGGAGCTCGGCATTGGTGGGTTTGTTGAGGGACTTGGTTAATACCTTTGACTTGGGTAGATGCCTTGCAAAATCTCCATCCTGATTCCTTTTCCTTCACCTCTGTGATGCCTGGGGTTGGACCGTCCAGTATTAACTATCTCTACCTTTCCAGGGCGTACACCTCCTGTGTTCTGAAGGCATCCACACAGCAGGTGCGGTTCTCTGGTCACAACCTGGTATGGGTGGAGCTCGTACTGTTCAGCACCAGGGTGAGGTTGGCATACTGGCTCTTTAATAACCTGCTGCTGGAGGACAAGCAGTTCTGGGACTCATTTTGTCACTTCTGGACCAGCTGGAGAAGGAAGCGGGTGGGGGGCTTCCCCTCCTTGAGGCTGTGGTGGGATGTGGGCAAGACTCCCATCCGTGTCTTCTGTCAGCAGTATGTTTGGGGGTCAAAGATGAGGCCAAAATCCAGGATTGAGCGGTTGGAGAAGGAGGTGCCTGGGTCATGTCTCAGTCAGCCTGATATGGACCCAGGCCTGCAGGAGGCATACAAAGAGAAGAAGGCCGCACTC